GGGGGTGAAGGTCGGGGATGCGTAGCTTAGCATCACTTAGTTTGCTTAAATCTAGAATAAGGCCTCGTCCACACTACGCCGGAGAAATTTGAAAACGCAGCTTTTCACGGTTAGGCCTTCCGTCCACACTAATCCGTCACGAAAACGGAGCTTTTCGAAAACGCTCTTCAAACCGGAGGAATTTGAAAACGCCGGCTTTGCGTTTNNNNTAGGCCTTCCGTCCACACTAATCCGTCACGAAAACGGAGCTTTTCGAAAACGCTCTTCAAACCGGAGGAATTTGAAAACGCCGGCTTTGCGTTTTACGCATGTACGGTGGACGAAACACACTTTGAAAACTGATAGGGTTTTCCTCAAACAAAAATCCAAAATGACCGGTGATAGTTGCGCTTGAAAATTTTTCGGGCGTAGCGTTGACGGAAAACATCTGATGTGTTTTCAGAGTGAAACGCCGTTTTCAAATTTCTCCGGGGTAGTCTGTACGGGGCCCAGGAGGCGATGACTGTTTATGAAAGGCTATAAAAATCAATATATTTACCCGCACTTTATCCGATCTTCCCGACGTTTCCACGCAAGCTGAGAATCCAGTTGCGTTGGCCCACTCGAGCCAGACTGTCACGGCCTGAAGCAACGAGCTGGTCATGGCACTGGAACGAGATGGCGCCAATTGCACCAGCACTTTTTCCGCCAAGAATGGAGGGGAAAATGGGGCAGAGTTACATTTGTAAGTTGAATCTTCAGAGATCTCAAATGTGACTTTTCCATAACGAATGTCAGTGGACGAGATGGGTTTTTCTCCATGTACTGAGAAGAAAAAAGAGGATTAAATGAGTCGAACTTAAAACTGCTCGAAGATTACAGAAACGATCAGGGTGAAGCGGGCAGGAAAAGCCAAATACAGAGAAAGGAATCGGTCTGAAAGCCAAAAATATCAGAACAGCGTTCACAAGCAGTGATCAGGCCAAATAACAACCTAAAATTATTCGTCTGCCTTCTCTGAAGTAAATGGGTCTTGTTTTTACGGTGTATATGGGCACATAGATCCAGCGATACCGAGTGATATTCCCGTTACCGTACTAAACAGCTTATTTAATAGGTTGCCTTTGTGTAAACAAGATCTGTAAGACCACTGAACCCGACCTAACGTTTCTTCACCCCAGTGCGGGATTTCACCTATAAACTGAAGA